CAGATCTGACGACACTATTTCTAATGGGGGTTGACGGCCTTTCCCAACTCTTCCCCCAAGGGCTTAAGTTCCACCTACACACCTGGACAGCCTTGCCACCACTCTTCTACTGGCTGACTCTCCCTTCCTGGGCTTCCCTCCCCTGATACCCCACACTTGCCCTTCATCCTCCCCTGGAGTATGCTATGGGAAACTATGGTAGCTGTTCATCGTTAGCCCTTTACCAAGGCCCCCAGGAGACCAGCAGGGACAAAGCATGTGTGAATAGGTATCAGCGGGGCACTCGGGGTCCTGGCATGGGTATTCTCTGGGAACTCTGAGACCCTAGCCCTCCTTTCCACCTTCATGGTTCTTGGGACCTGGCTGGCCGGTGGAACAGCACAGCCTGAATGTGGGCTCCATGAATCAATACCTGTAACTATGAAAGGAACTAAAACACCATCATTCTCTGCTGATGCGCCTTGATCCAGGAGTGATTCTCCAGAACAATGCCCTGGAGTTCAGTGCTGAACAGCTGGGAGTAGTCTCCTGTCTGTACCTGCAGATAGAAACAGGTGACCTTCCTCTGTGATGGATAGGAACCGGTGACAGCTGGGTACACAGGGACATGGCACCGATGCCTGGATCGCTGGGAAATGAAGTCTCCTCCATACCAACAATGTGTCTCTTTCTTTGCTTTAACTTTGCTGACGGGAGCAATGTCAGAACATCGAGAATAATCTCAGTATTCACAGCACAACTGCACACTGGCATTTTCTGAGCATTTGTTACAGTCTAAGCACTGGATTCAGCCTGCTGTCTCATTTAATCCCCCCGCACATGCTCTCAACGAGCTCCACAGTACAGGCAAGGCAGCTGAGGCTTCTGGAAGGTTCGGTGGCTTGCCTGAGGTCCCACCTTGTTAAGAAGTTGCTTTGGGGCAGCAGACCCTGCACTGAGGTCTACTGCTGGACCCAGAAACAGCTGCATAACGTGTGGAGTTGGGTGCAAAATGATAGCGATACCTCCTGCTCATCAACGATTAAAAACTTGGGGTGTTGGTGACAGAACAGTAAACAAGAAGGGTGTCTTTAGAGCACACGCCATGCTGCTGGTCCTAGGTAGATGGGCTCAGAAGAAAGTGATGAGATTAGAACGAGGGTCTCAATGTCACGCCCTCTTTCCCCCAGAGCCTCTCCCAAGAGGCTCACAGTAAATAGAAAGGGTTTGGGGGAACCTAGCTGTTGGCCAGGAGGACTGTTCATTTTCCATCACCTGACAGAACTACCCAAATGCAAACATGGCCCCCAGGGGGAGTTTAGCACTACCACCAGAGCAGAACAGACGCATGGGCTCCACGACTCCTGGATCTCAGGCTCACACAAAGTCTGAGAATGTTGTGCACACATCCAGATGAGGCTCTGAGCACGACGATGACTCAGATTCTGCCAGCTCTTGACCCTAGGACTGAGCAGGGGTGACAGTGTCTGTGACAGCTTTTACCTGTCTACCTGCTGCAGACTAGGATCGCTTAAGAAGAGATCCTCAGTTGAGAAGCTGTCTAGATCAGGCGAGCCTGATGTCTGTGGGGGACTCTCTTGCGTGTTACTGAGGACTATCATTCTGAGGGGCGGGTCCTGAACTTCCTAAGAGGGAAGAAGGTTAGCAGGGCCTAGAAAATAAGCATCATGGGTGCATCCATTCACTTATTTCCTTCTGCCCTTGACTGCGGGTGTGGCCAATGGTCACATGACGCTGCAGCTGAGATTTCCTGTGACATTGGACTATAACTTGGAATTGAAGACAATAAAGCCCCTATGTTGCTTTTGGTTGGAATGTTTTATCACAACAGGCATGAAACAAGAACAGTATCCTATCATCAAATAAGGCGCCATCCTCCAAATTTCCCCATGGTCCACCTATCTTAGTCTTTGGTGTTGTGACATGGTCTGGAGCTACTACATTAATTGCTTGCCCCCTGAGATCTTTATCGTTCTATGATCAAATACTCACATATACCAAGCGGTGCTGTGTAACCATGCCTCCAAATTATCCTTGATTGACCAATCAAAAAAGGGCCAAAACCTGGGTTGAGCAGAAGAGAGATAGGCAGAGCTAAGGTTCAGGGACCTGGAGGACAGAAGGATCATGGGAGAGAGAGGAAGAGGAGAGAAGTATAGGAAAGGAGGAAGGAGAAAGCAGGGTCAGCATGGGTTAGGCATGAACGAGAAGCACATGGCGAGAAGGAACTTGTTCTGAGCATTGGCAGCCGCAGATGGAAAGCATGAGCAAGTCTTTACAGGAGTTATGAATGGGAAACAGCCCAGAAAGGAATAGTTCAAGCAAGTGACATGGGATGTGGGGCCGGGAGAGAACAAGGTAGCTGAGGGGGTTTACATTTGTCCAGTTTCAGTGTTTAGGCATATTAAAAAATCTAATTGGTGTCTGTGTATGTTTATTTTTATAATTGCAGGTTAAATAACAATTGCCATATAGCCTTATCTACAACACTTTGGGAAGAAAGGTGGCCAACTCTAGAATGGTACATGACAAGGGACCTGCAGCTCAAAGCTGAAGACATGGACTCTTGGTTTTCCTATTTTGTGAGGTGAAGACTGCTAGACCCACCTCTCAGGTTAGTGGAGGAGGAGGGTGTGTTGTACCTAACTCTCCAGCACACAGTGAGGGCTCAGTTCAATGATAGAGTTCAGTGGCTGTGTGTATGGTCAAGTTTATGAGACAACTGAAAACACTTGGGCAGGGACTAGGAGATGGCTCAGGTAGTCACGTGCTTGAGACACAAGCATGGAGACCCGTGTTCCATCCCCAGCACCCATGTGAAAAGTTGGGCACGGTAGTGTAGACCTTTAATCCCGGCACTGAGAAAGTGGTGATGGGGGACGAGGACTCACTGACTAGCCAGCAGAGCGGAAACTGTCAACTCCAGGCTCAGTGAGAGACTCTCATGCAAAAAAAGAAATCTAAGGTGGAGAGTGACTGAGGAGAACTCAACAAGGGAACAGGGAATTGGAGACACAGGAGAAGCAATCACATGTGTAGCCAGCCAGGAAACACAGAACACATGGTGTAACTTGACAAGGGTCTCAGTTGGAGAGAAGTTTGGAGAATGGTGGAATACTGCTCAACCTGACAATGCCCT